TGATCATTTTATGCGAATCAAAGCGATCCCGTGGAAATCCGCCGAATGTAACATCGAGGTCTGGGGAGTCCCGTACAATGCCATTATCGACTCAGGAGCCGCTGTCTTGGCTATCTCGTTAAGGGTAGTAGAAAGAGCGGGAAGAAGAAAAGATTCGATCATGCAAACAGAAAAGGATCATCTCGTCTCCGCGGATGAAGAGAAAATCAAGACAGTGGTACGACTGACCAACGTTGCTTTTGGATTGGGAAAAGTACATGCCCTGGGGGATATCGTGGTATTAGACGTAAGCATGTACGGCATTCTTTTGGGATTGCCCCCTCTTACGCCGGCCAACCTAGATTTTGACAGACGATCGATTGTCCTCCGGAATATGGGAGGAAAAGCCTACGCTATCCCTATGAGATTGACTCTTAGAACGGTGGCCGAGGTAACCCGGAAAACTCTGTGGCAGAGGTAACCCAGAAAACTCCTCCGATGCCCGAAAGAACTCTTCTGGAAGGAAATTGCGGAACACATTGATCACCAGTTAAAGGAGCCAAACCCCTCGAGTGACACTGATGATAGCAATGAAGACGAGTTAGTGATTCAAGAGTTAGTGCAACAACGTGTCCGCTACCCGATTCAACAAGCAATCACGAAAACGTTCAAACTCACGAAAGAAAACATTCAGAGAACACGCGCATTAATTTTGGAAGAACCGCTTGTGCAAATTTCCCGGATGACTGATTCTTTGGAACCCCCTGCGCGTCGCGGCATAGGACACCACAATCTCGGGATCAAGATCGCAAAAAAAACCGTACGATGGCAGGACGTCTGCGACGGGGTAACCCTGAAGGAACACGTGGCGATCCTCGAGGAAGATGCCCAGATGATGATCACAGTGTTCTCCTAGCGATCGGACAATTCATTTATTTTTGCGCCCCCGCCCGGGAACGGTGGAGGGATCGACACAAAACAGATTACGAGTTGCATGTACCACATTACGCGCCTTACGAAATTCACCATCTAATCGCAGAAATTCTAAAAGAATATCAGGGAGCAATCAGTGTGACGGACACGGATATCGGATTACCGTTAGTCATTCAACATGAGATTCATATTGGAAATCATCCTCCGATCCACAGCAAACTGTACAGGCATTTCCCTCGTGGAATGAAAGACAACCTTACAAAGAATTCGGGAATTCGAAACTAATGGATGGATTGAACCAGCCACGGGACCATGGTCATTCCCCATAGTCCTAGTACCGAAGAAAAACGGGTCGATTCGCATTTGCATCGATTATAGCAAACTGAAGAATATCATGATCAAGGATGTGTATCCCCTTCCCCGGATTGACGATTTGCTTGATGCGATTGGGTGTGCTAATTATTTTAGTAAGTTTGATCTTCGTCATGGGTTCCATCACATCCTGGTTAAGGAACAGGACCGACCCAAGGCAGCGTTCGTTTTGTTGGAAGGTACGTGGCAGTGGGTTCGGTGTCCATGAGGACCTGCAATGAGCCGGCTACGTTCTAGAGAGTGATGAATGCCATTAAATGTAACATTCCAAAATTTCGTCAACAAGACCCGACTGACTCAAGGGATGATCAATTTCTGCGTCATTGTGTATATGGACGATATCCTGGTCTATTCAGAATCGTTCCACGGGCACGCATAACATATCGAATGGACACTGGGAGCCCTACGGGACGCTAGATTCAAGATTGCGCTGGAAAAAAATGAGTTTTTCCTTTCTGAGATCTCATTCCTAGGCTACGTGGTGACTCGTGGAGGCTTGAGGCCCGACTCGAGAAAAAATGTGGCCGTTCAAGACGCTTCGACCCCCACGTTGCTAACGCAAGTTCGAGCCTTTCTGGCGTTGGCTTCGCACTATAGTCGATTTATCAAAGGCTTTGCCGCTATCACACGACCCCTAACAAACTTGCTACGGAAGGACCAGCCCCTCAGCTGGGACGCAGAGTGCGAACAGGCCTTCAACGCTTTAAAGAAAGCCCTAGCCACGGCGTCTATTTTGATCCGACCAGACCCGGCCAAGTAATTCATACTCATTACGAATTGGCAGCCTGAGGCGATTTCCGCTATCCTGGCACAAAAAGGGAACGACGGTCGCGAACACGTCATCAAATATGTGTCTCGTACCGTACCGAACGAGAGGAGGAACGATTCGGCTCCGCAAGGAGAGTGCTACGCGGTGGTTTGGGAAATTCAACACTTCCATCCGTATCTGCACGGACAAAAGTTTCTCCTCGTCACTGCCCATGAGCCCCTACTCTATCTCAAGAGGCTCACTAATTATACGGGCATTATTGGGCGCTGGGCAGTATGGCTGCAAGAATACGATTTTTCGACATCGTCCACCGGAAGACAGAGAGACACGGGAACGCGGACGGATTGACACGACTGCACCTTCTGGCAAAGGTGGCCAAAGGCGAGGAGATCACTTTGTGGAAAGAACCGGAACCCGCCAATGGGCCACGATACGGACATGTGGTCATCCTTCCTCGAGGTCCTAAGGGGTGATCGACACGATGGCGATGAGGCACGGAGGTTATCTCGAAACTCCTCTTTCTCCTCTCTCATCCTCGTCCTTTCCCTCCCTACCTGACAAATTCTGCTAGTTTTGCGAGACAATTTCGAGAGTCTATTCGGTCCCTATGAGTCCCAGTGGGGAGGGATATGTCGAATGGGTAGATTGTCAACGTTGTGTCTCTCGAGCCCATGGCTCCTGCATTCAGTACCGAAATGCAGACAAACCCTGGTTGTGCCCTCTGTGTCGTACCGATAAGATCCCGACGGAGGCTCGATTTTTTGAAGCCACGTCGGAAGGGCTAGAAAAGACCCGACAGTTTAGAAGGGCTTAAGTATGGACAAATGTTGTTTTAATAGCTACGGTGGCTGGGAACCCCCTCCGAGATTTCACAAAGGAAGATCAGAGACGGGCCAATGAGAAAGCTCAGGATTACCGATGGAATGAGGGACGGTTGGAAAACGAAAAACGGACGGAAGTGGGATTTGGATGTCTGTCCCGCATCCGTTCGTAAGGTATGATTGGGTTAAGTCAGCCCACGAGGAGACTGCGGCCCATTTCGCTGTCAGAATCACGGAGGCGGCAATCGACAAAAATGAGTGGTACTAGTCCAACATTCGCGACGATGTTAAGTTCATCGTCCGGAACTGTCAGGTCTGCGCCGCTGACAAGGCGCCGATTCAGCCGCCTAGATCGATAGTGCCTACCATAATCCAACGGCCATTCCAAAGGGTTAGCATGGATACCGCCGATATTGTTGTGCCCCCTAGACCGAATAGATGTGAGTATTAAATCCTTTCCATTTCTCGAAATGGATCGAGGCCTATCCCTGCAAGACGCGAGAGGCGGATGAAATAGCGCGATATGTCAACCATTTTTTCGGGATGCACCAAGATACTGAGGAGATCCTGACGGATAATGGAGCAGAATTTAGAGGGGAAGTCCTGAGGAATTTGGTCTGACACGGTGTCTTCATTCACCACACTGCTCCCCACATGTCACAATCCAACAGACTGGTAGAAAACGCCAATCGGGTGATTAAGACCGCCCTGCGACGCTATATTGCGGCAAATGACCTGAGGCCTTGGCCCAATATCGTGGACCATATCCTGGCTATTCACCGGGGGACACCCCACAAGTCCACGGGTCTGACCACATTCCAACTACGGACCAATAGCCTACCCTGTGTAGCCCTACCGAACCTAAATGATGAGACGACTCTTCCGCGACGGACCACTAGAGCGACGGTCAAGGACAAGGCCCAATGCCACCTAGAGCTGATGGAAAAGGTCCTCCCCCAACTGGCCCGAAAAAGACAACGAATGACAAAAATGGCCCATGGGAGACAAGTCCGGAGCTACGAGGCCCGAAACGGGAACGCTGGGCCTCGGCCCCAATATAAATTAGGGGACATCGTGCAAGTGAGGAAATGTGATCGCCAAGGCAAGTTACCGCCACGATTCTTCGGGCGATTTCACGTAGTCAAGCTCGGTCCCAGTGGGGTGAACACGGTGCGGCTTGCACTTGAGGTGTCGGGAAGTCGATCGGCTCGTCCCATCATTCGACCATGTCCTACCTTCGTCCTCTGCCTTCTTCCCCTTCCCCTCCTTCATCTGCATCGTCCCTCGGCCAAGACGAGGACGACGACTCTCTACTAGAATCCTCCTTTCTCTCTCAACCATCATCTTCGACCCCGCCTCCATCGCCAGGAGTTTTTCAAAGGACCAGGTGATCAACGAGCGTTTGATGACTCCGAGGGGACGTATAGCGACAATTTGGTAAGTGCAGCGACCTCGGTTGAGCCCTGATCTTCTTCGATTTGCAGCCTTCTTCAGTACAGTGGTCATCCACGCGGCGACAGAGTTCCGTTTTGTACACTCAGGAGCGACGCGTGTACTGGCCGAGATTTCGGCTTTCCAGCGCCTGTCATCGCTCGGTGTCAGCCACGTGTCCGTCCTTGTCACCTTCTCGGGTGACATTATGACGCTGCACCCGGCGACCCATGCGGACATCTATCGGCAGCTGCGGAGTTGGGCCGAGGAAATCACGGCCACGTGGGTCGAGTTGCTGGCCCAGCGGGAGGAGAGGATCATGGCCACGAACGACATAGACATCTGACTCTGCACTTCCAGCAGCACGCCAAAGATCTTTCTCCTGGAGCTCTTCCCCTTTGAGCGGCCCCAATGAACCGTCATTGTCTCTCCCTTTTCAACCTTCCATCTGATCTCCCTACCCTCTGGCAGTCTGCTATCGATCCCGCCCTCTCCGTCCGAATCCGAGAGCTTAGCGTGCCGATCTTGGACGGAGACAAGTGGAATAAGTGGTGGGACGCCTACGTGGAGCTCAACTTCTGTTTGGTGTGCGCGGTGTTTCATTGGGCGGAGACAGCACCCGAGGCTGAAGGGGGTGAGGTCCCGGATGACGAGATAGAGCTGTTAATCGTGCAGGCTTGACGGACGAGTACGGAGGGAGAACTGCTGGGGATACTATTCGGCAAGGTGGAGGACGGTCATTTGGACGCAATCACCGACGAGTTGTTGGTGTTCTTGGCGCAGCTGGTGGACGATCTGCCCCTCGAAATTTTGTCGAGGTGACGAGAAGCCGGGGACGACATGCTTACTCGCACGCTTGCGCCCCATCTGCTATGGTCCACATGTATGGAGCTGGACGGAGACAACTGCGTGTACCCATCCCCGAGCCTCTATATCGATATCGACGTCACCGATCTCACACAGTGGGATCCCTTCATCCGGCGAGGGAACACGATAGAAGCCAGCTACGAAGAGGAAGAGGAAGAAGAAGAGGAGTCGGAGGAAGAAGAATCGGGCACCAATCAGGACGATCCCGACTACACTGGGTCAGAAGAAGGGGAAAGGGAGTCGGAGGAAGGCGGAGCGCAGGAACCGAGCGTCCATCCCCCGCGAAGCAGGAAAGAGGAGGAGGCTGAAGCTCAGCCAAGGCAAGAGACAGTGGAGGGCAAGCGACCGCTCGAGGAATCTGAAGGACAACCACCACAGCTACTGCTGGGCGATCCATTGCGGAATCCGGAGACACCGCGCGAAGATTCCAATGCAGCCGCGACGTAGGGGTCAGGAAGTCGACGCCGCAGAAGAAGTGAATCCTTGACCCCGTCTTCTTCGCCATCACGAGCCACCCTTCGCCCTCGTGATATGCGGGCCTGGTTGTTATCCCGCCGTCACCTTGACTTCCTCACAACCCACCAACTCCTGGGTCGACCCCCGTTCCGTGATGGATGGTGCCCCTTCCCGCCCACTCTCTTCCACCAGTTTTATGCCACCCCCCTTATTGTCACCATTGTCCCACATGCTACCACCCGTTCCTTTGTCGCCTCCTTCCCCCTCCACGTCCTTCTCTTCAGCGCGGCCTGGTGGGAATATAATAATATAGAAGTTCATTGCATCATCTCGGGTACAATTCCCGCCTGTGAAAATTATGAGAGCTTCCTCGCTGCAATCCTCCACCCTCTCTACCCTTTATCCCGACAATCTCGCCTCTCTTCCCTAACAACGCACGAACCCCCAATTCCCCCGCATCCACCGCACTGTCCATCACAGTTGAATCCCCACCAGCGACAGGGAGATTCGCCGCTTCATACCTCCTCTTCCACAAGTCCATCCACCACCTCCTCCACCCGTTATCAGATTACCATTCCCGGGCAACGTTTTGGATTGAGCACGCGCATGCCACGTTGGATGACTTCCACACTCTGATCCTACAGTGAGTGGCACGTGTAGCTCCACACCGATCGTCGGACCAACTGATCGGTGCCTCATGAGAGAGCAAGCACGAGCTTGGTCAAGATTGAAACCCCTTGGGCGTCACATATATGACGAACTATTTGATGTGATCGTGCGACTTTCTACGCGAAGCTACTTGGGGGAATGCGACGGGTCGAAGGGGTGAGTTGTGGAAAGATGGGTTGGGCGGGCTAGTTGCATGGATGCCCTCGTTTCTTTTCATTTCTGTTGGAAGTTATCGGATCGGTGTCGGGAAAATCCGGTACCAACGGTTGGGTGGTCGCGCCATGACCGGCGCAAGAAATAACTGTAACATAACTCCTTTCTTGTTCTGCTGTGAGCACTGAGGATTTTTGGCGCGATCATCGTGCGAGAATATGATTTTTGAATTTTCAACTTATGGGCTCGCGGAATTGTTTTTTTGCCTTTTAATAATTTCTCTTTGCAATTAGGACTTAGGATAGGAATTTAGGTACTCTGAATTTTGCTGCTTCACGCTTGCTCGCATCTTGCTGCGCTGGGACCTGGGCTTTGACTAGATCGCGCCCTTAATCTTGTGTAATTGTCATTTTTGGCGGCCGCGATTACAACAATATCTTTCTTCTTTCTTGGGTTCTCTCGTGTTTACCCGCCTTCTCCTTCTAATTGGCCGGAGTGCTTGCATGACCGGATCGATGCGAGGAGTGTGGCTACGACCCCCACGCCGCGGCCTGGCCATGCAAATGTAGGCACTTCCTCTTTTCTCCTCTTGTCCACCTGGGCTTAATCCCATACCTTTCGTGCAGGCATGCATGCTATAAATTTCGCAAGCACGATTAGTTGTCTTTCTAAGAATTTCGAGGTTAGCGCGATCAGTGAGGTTCGGCTAACGAGCAAGTTGAAAGGTGAGTAAGTGTGAGAGTAAGGCGATCCGACGAGCTGGTGTCGGGTGCTTGGGGTTGACGTGTGGGGCCACGACGGACTGTGGCGCACGACCGAACCTGGCTTGCATGCTCGAACCAAGCGGGTTGACAACTCTGTGTTGATGCGCGGCAACGGACGGCCCATATTGGGAATGCAGAGATAGATAGATAAATACATAGATAGATAAATACATAGATAGATAGATAGATAGATAGATAGATAGATAGATAGATAGATAGATAGATAGATAGATAGATAGATAGATAGATAAATAAATAGATAGATAGATAAATAAATAGATAGATAGATAGATAGATAAATAGATAGATAGATAGATAGATAGATAGATAGATAAATAGATAGATAGATAGATAGATAGATAGATAGATAAAGAGATAAAGAGATAGATAGATAGATAGATAGATAGATAGATAGATAGATAGATAGATAGATAGATAGATAGAGATAGAGATAGATAGATAGATAGATAGATAGATAGATAGATAGATAGATAGATAGATAGATAGAGAGAGAGAGAGAACAGTCGTGTGGGTGTGGGATGAGGTTCTTTCGTTGTTTCCTTCTTTTCCTTTGTTCCTCTGTATAATTTTGAATTCGGATAGGGTCGATTTTATCGCGGCCTTCGTTTTGGACTTCTTTTGTAAATCGTCTCGGATTTTCCTTGTCGGTTGTATTTTGTATCTATGCATGAAATGAATGTGAATCCCCCTTACTAGCGATCCTTTCGGATTTTTTAACCTTGTTTTGTGATGTCTGTTTCGGCTCTGTCTACTACTCACTTGCGCGAGCTACACGCTTGATTATGGATGTTTTGGTTGTCGTTAACTTTCGATAACCACGAGTGCTATAAGAAGTTGACGATCTTTTTCTCTTCTTCCCCCCGCCCCTTTTTGTCACGTGTATGATATGTGGTGATCAGATCTCACTCGACACCGCAGGGATAGGATATCTGCATGCATGTTGAAAGCGATCGACCCGCTGAACCACCCCGTTGTTTCTCTCGTGCACGCTCGCGTACGACCACGATCTCGAGGAAACCGAGTTGCTACGTACTCGCCCACCCGCGTGAGTCAGCCTGGAACTCCGTATGAGGATGCAGGGGACCAAGCTTTCTAAACGGATATAGCTGCGGAATTTCCCGCTTGGATATCCGATCGTGAAAGTCTGAGGGACCCGGAATACCGCGAATACTGGGAAGGTGAATAACTCAGACAACGGGGGAACTTAAGAAACCCGGAATTCCGCTGTCTGATAGAAAGCGATCGATTGTGTGCGAGGGACTTTCACTGTGCCATAACTAACGATCCTAGGGGTCCTTATTACCTAGATACTTACAACACACAGTATTTCATATCCCTCGGTTTCGTCTTTATCACTACCAGTTTCCCTCCCTTCCACCTCCTCCTTCCATATCACCAACTCACGGTGGTGCCGTGGAATTCCATAGCCCGCTATTGGCCCTGCAGACCGTGCGAAAAGTGTCGGCAGCACCAGGCCTATCGAGCCTCGGAATTCACTCGGCAAGCCCGGACCGAAGCCGAGGGGCGCCGAGGACTGATCGAGCAGCACAACCGGCCATGAAGGCAAAATCGGAGGAGATGGTGATTCCCATTTGTTTTCGGGCTTAAAAGTTGAATTCGTCGGCAAGGGCAAAGTAGTTGGGATTTTGTTCGAGAATGCAAGAGTGTTTTGATCTATCGGCACGACGATAGCGGAAAAGTGCCCCAGATCTTTACCCTGAGATGCACTGTGCATGCCATCTGCCCTATGTTGCACGACATCAGCAGCCTCCCTTCTGAGTACACCCTCTTTGCGCCTATACCCCCGAAACTTGCCACAGGAGATCTCAGTTTCGACCTTGGACTCCACTCCCACTTTCCTAAAATCCTTGGCAAACCCCTTTTCGTACTTCTAGGCCCCCATCCCAGTCTGATCAGGAAGCCACGCTGGGCGTGAGGTTGGGTGTCACAGAGAGACGTAACGACATGTTTGCCCCTTTTTGCCCTAGCGTTTAGGGTGCAGGGTTTTGATCACCGAGAATGTGCACTTGACATGTTGCAACACGCTGGCAAACGGTTGTGGCCAAGCCCATTGGTGGCTGTCAGATCTTCAAGATCAGGCCGCCTAAGAAAAACCGCTGCTTTTTTTTGGGTCTCCCGCCGACATGTTGCAAGAAGCTGGTGAATGGCTGTGGCCAAGCCCATTGGTGATTGTCAGATCTTCAAAAGAAAGAGA